ATTCACACGGTCAAATTAATGGCATTCTATAGCGATCCCAGCCTGAGAGATGATGCATACAACAGAGAGACACGTTGCAGTTTTAGGACAACTGCGATCAATCAAACTTCACTGGTGACGTCAGCAAAGCGCATGCGTGCCACAGCTTCTGAACTACATACCATAGATCGATTGTATACACCAATCAGAAACGGTGCGGCCCAGCCCGAATGACCAGTGAGCATGTTTTGCACATATTATATAATCCACCTTATTTCTTCCCAAGTTCCGTTATCTGTTCTGATTGGCAATGTGTAATGCCCATATGGATACATGCTTAAAGTTTGCTGACAATATCCTATCTGATCGCACCCATCCTCTACACACACTGACTTATGTGCATGCACATCCCACCCTTTCACCCGTTCCAAGTACAAACTTATCCCGTCTCGCATATCCGCATACAGAAACTCTTTGGTGCCCCATCTTGCCCGGATAGTCACCGACAAGGGAAGTGTTCGTTCTGAGCTGTCTAATGCATTCGGTAATTAACTCATATTTTTTGCATTTAACGTCCCACGTTTTCATCTTTTCTTACCAGAGTTGTAACCGTATCCTATTTTAGGATGAAAGCTTGTATATAACTCGCTAAAGCTTCAACACAATGCAATCCACTTAGCTGTGGGTGTGGGCTTCAGCGCAGTTGTACCGGAAGGACTGAGTTCTGAATAGCAATCAAAGAAGCCGTTTATTAAACCACTGGGTGTTTCATAATATAGGAATTCATATACTACTCTCAGATGGAATAAAGTGATGAAATAAATTTTGAATTATCTTGCGCTTCCAACTCGCTAGGGAATTTCATCTACAGAGTCGCCAACATTAGAGCTTCAAGTATTGTTCTAATTGTTTGACTACTCACGAGTAGTAGTATCATAGAACAAATAGTTCTCTTAACTCTGATTCAGAATAGATAGAAGGGTTTTTGTCCCAAGTGTTACGTACTTACTTGGAGATATGCACAGAAGTAATTACGAAGTGAAGAATAGAACAGTTCAATCATTATTGTTGTTCAACTCTTATCGAGAATATCTGTGAGTTTTCTGATGCCGAGTCTGATTTTAAGTGATACGAAAACATGCATTGCTTACCACTTCATTTCCTCGGCTGTTGGGTTAATTGAATCACTCTTTGATTTGCTTTGTCCCAATTATCTTGAATTGCGTACGTAATCAGGCCGGTTATTGGGTCAATGAAATGTTTTATCAAGGTAACTGTATTCTTGATTTGGGTAGGTGTTTGCGCGATATCCATTCATCAGTGTGGATAGATAAGCGTTGGTTACTCCATACATGCTGGATTAATAGTATGATCGTATTATGCAATGTACTTTGTACGTCCGATTCCTAAACTGATCTTTTCACTCCCGGTGCCCAATTTGTCCCTTTTTATCTCTCACGGTTGTATTCAGTTTGAGATGAAAGCGTCTCGTTGTCTAACTCGACAATCCTGTTGTTACCAGAATTGTAACGATGGTCTATTTTTTGTCTGAAAGCTTGTATATATAACTCGTTAAAGCTTAAATACAATACAATACAACTATTGAGGTCTTTTCCTCACGTCTTGGTTACGTGGGATATCGCGTGCAAGTGCCATTGTAACCCAGTGCGTACGTGACGTCCGTGATCGCTATTCCGTGATTCCTGTTTCGTGTTCAGTGCGTATTACAAATACTGCAATCACTAAACATTCACCCGCCTGTTTTGTCTTCTGGCGTTGTGGCTTGTCTGTGCTGCCGTTTGTTGTTAGCAAGATAGAAATGCACAAGTGATGTATCCCAATCGTTTTATTGGTTTCAATTCATCGCCGATAATCGTTATCGGGGTGGGAAACACTCTAAGACCACATTCGCATTTACAACACAGTTGCACGACTAGATCGATACCTGATACACAGGAGTTGTTTATCAGGAAACGATTTCTTGGACACCGTGCACAGCGAGTTTCCTTTTTTGACCTCATTTATAGTTATTTTTCATATTTTCAATTTTACATCATCATCATCATCGTGCAGCGAGGTACAGTGAAGTGAGCTTCACTGATCGCTGCCAAGCTGACAATGCACACAAATCAAGTGATAAAGCACAAAATGGAGAGGGATTTGGGCCTACTTGGA